TCCTGCTCTGCTTCCGTGTGGCTTTCCAAAGCCAGCTGCATTCGTCTTGAGGTCCAGGAACCTAATGATTTTTAAAACAACCCTATGTAGAGACATCCTAAACTTTTTCTCTTAAAATTTAGAAATGTATTTTGGTAAGTTAGGCTCTATTTATATTTTTGATTGCCAGAGGTTTTCTGTACTTGAGAGAGAGAGGAAAGAGGGCAAAGGCAGCCCTCGGTGGGGGTGTGTGGTCACCCTGCCGTCCTTTCTCCATCTTTCTGTCCTGCCAGGATTTGGGGTATGCATGCACATACACATATCTGGTGTGTTTTTTAAGCCTCTGGGCCAGGATTTGAACTATGATCAGTTATGTGGGATCTGGCTCCTTCATTACTAAGCTATGAGGCCCACCTTAAAATTAGGCTTTTTACAAGCTTGGAGAAGCTAAACCATTTCCTGACTTTTGCTCTACCTAGAGTAGAAGTCTGGCATCAAGCAGGCTTTTGAGAGGTTTTCTCCTTTGGCTCCTGTTTGAGGATCAGAATAGCAGGTAGGGCTCAGCTTTCAATGTAGGGGATTGTCCTCTGCCCAAACATGCCCTGCTCCTCTGTAGTCCTCTTCACTGTGTCACACGGCTTTAGATGTCTAGTAAGACAGCATGACCGAGGCACTCAGTTCTAGAAGACGTTTTAGAGTAGTGGGGGAATATGTAGAAAGTTCTTTCGGTGGGCCAGCAGGATGGCCTAGTGGTTAAGGCAGTTGGACTCCATATGACCAGCTGCACAGTTCAAGACATGGACCTAGCAGCTCAAGAAACATGCCAGATACATGGATGGGCATGGCCAAGTCCTGAAAGGAGGGAGAGATGGAAGAGAAGGGAGTGTGGTGTGACCGAGTCCCCTTGATGACGGGGGCTTCTCACCTCCCCTTCACCCTTTCTCTCTGGCAAGTAAACATACCCCCTAGCACAAACGGAAAGGAAGAAAGTAAGTTCTTTTTGATGGGCTTCCTCCATCCCCTCTTTTTAAATGACAAGAAAAGGGTTTTTTCCAACTCCCACGTGATAATGAATTTTTTTTTCTATTCATTGAAATATAGAATAACAGATCTACTTACTGATTCAATACATTTTACAGTAACTATAGATGTTCAAAACCTAAGAACAGCTGTATGAATGTAAAACACAAGGCATGCTGTGGACTCATCCTGGTCATGCTTCGGTGTGCGGTCCCTGCAGCTCTGCGGACCCCAGAGGGTGTGGCTTGAGCATGGGTAACCACGGCCAAGAACCGCAGCCACCAATTAGACCTGTTCACAGCACATCTGCCTCCAAAGGTGCATTTCCCTGGGTGCTTCGCGTGCTGAGGTGGCTCCCTCACTATCTAGAAATTCACCATTCTCTGAATGATCCCAAGCATTGAATTCAGTTTATAAAATTCTTTATGTTCTGGACCGCTTTTTAGAAAGTTAGCTATTTTGAGTCCAGAGCATGGTGCAGCAGTAAAGCACACTGCTCTGCAAGGCAGCCTCGCTTGGGAAGGTTCCCAGTTCAAGTCTGGAGACCTCCCTGAGTGCCCCAGGCGTGCACATGCTGGCTAGGGGTGTCATGGTGTCAAGTCCCCGAGCGGGCTCTCTCTGTCTCTCTCTGTCTCTGTCTCTCTCAAGAGATATGTAAAAATATTCACTTAAAAGAAGTTGCTCAGCTGGAGAGATCCATCGCTAGCCTTGATGCAGGTGGGTTGAGTGGTTTCTTCTTTGTTTTGTTTCAAAATGTGGGTTTATATGTCTGACATTTTACTGACTCACTAGAGGTGATGACCTCCCCACAGTGTGCATGTGCGCACACACACGAGAGCGAGAGAGAATGGGAGAGAGAGGAGCACCCTCACGGGGTCTGGCCACGCCATGCTCCCCGTCTTCCAGTGCTCTAGCCTTTCAGGGCCCGGCACTAGTGTTTGTGTCCAGCCTGCTTCAGGTGCTGAGCTGGGGCTCGAACCACAGTCACCATGTAGATGCAACTTCTCTTGAGCAGTGCATTGCCGCCGCACCAAGGAGCCAGCCCTAGCACTAAGAGTTTTTGTCCCTCATTTGGCACACGTATTTTAGCTATTCTTCTCTATTCATGGCCTGCAGCGCTAGGACCATCCTTTGTGGGCACTGACAGCTAAAGCAGGGCTCAGAGTTAGAAAGAACTGGGTATCATTTCCATTTTATCCAGTTATTGGTTTTGTGGCCTCAAGCAAATTAAACTCAGTTTCCTTGTTTTAAATGGGAAATAATAAGAATTCACTTCCAAGGTTATTGCTTAGACTCTAACCAAATGAATTTAGCGTCTGTTCAGCTCCAGGTGCTGTGTGCCTGGGTAGCTGGGCGTGTCTCCCTGGAGCGCAGTGTGCCTCCTGCTGATCATTGCAGCCCGGGCCCAGCGGTGTGCGAGCACACACCGACTTCTCCACAGATGTTCCAAGAGTGAGGAAAGAGCGAGAACCAGGGCTGAAATGTGCCATCTTTCTCTAAAGGAACTTTAGTCTGGTGGGAGATTAAAAATGGCACAGGCTGGTCCCGTGGCTTTGTGGTTAAGGGAGCCCGGTCACATGTAACCGACAGCCCAGTTCAGTCTCGGGCTCAGCATCGTGGGAAACACGCCGCGTGCTTGTGCATGTGCCCACGATGCTGGTGGGATGGAGGAATGGAGAAGGGATTGTGGCACGACCATTCCCCACTGGGTACGTTCTCCTTCTCCTGCTCTGTCTCTGATGTACGCATGTGCCCTCTGGCTTATAAACAAACGATGATAATAAAATTCCTTCTGTGTAGTTAGCATGTAGTAGTTGCTCAGTGATCGAGACAATGCTTTATTCGTAGACGTAGATCGTCCGGATAAGCTTAACGGTGGCGGCAGTCTTTTGCCAGATATTTTAATTGGCGCAATGAGTTATTATTTATTTGTATATTTTGGGTGCTAATGGCATTCTTTAAACATATTGAATTCTGTCTAGGCCATTTTTTCAAACCCAACCCAAAACTCATTGGAAATCCTGTGCGAGTTGCCAGACAGGCAGGGAAAGTTTGAGAAAAAGCAATGTTGGGCTAATGTCTTACTTGGAAAAGAACATAATTCCTATCCACAGACAGTTATGCAAAGCAAGATCGGGGTATCAGTGGTATGCTGTTTTTGGAAGCAGCACCAAAGTCTGAAACCTAACAGAAGAGTTGATTCACAAAAACTCACCTCTTGCCTTCCTTTCCCCTAGACTATAGAATCTAACTGGCGGTGTGGACGACACAACTTGCAGAGGATCCAGTGCCGCTCCGAGAACAGTAAAGGCGTCTACTGTTTACAGTACGACGATGAAAAAATTATCAGTGGCCTGCGAGATAACTCTATTAAGGTGAACGACTGCATTTCGTGAGCGTTATTTTGGGAACCGCGGTTATGTGTGAGGCACTAGCTGTGACAATCTTTCCATTCACTCCAGATTGGCTTTATCTGTTCCTCACAATCTTGGCAGCTCCCTGTGGTTCTGAAGGGCTAGAGCCGAGCATTTCCCTGTAACTCACACAAGACCCTGGACTGTCTCACTTCTTATCCTCTCTAAGCGCGTTCACAGTCTGTATTCTTTATTTAGGTGTAAAGAGAAAATATCCCGGTATCAGGAGCGCCTGATGACTGCTGGTTGGTGCGAGAGTGTTGCCAAATTGCCTGCTAATCAGTCATTACCTTTTATGGGTCTGGGAAAGGCTCAGATGATAGCAGAGCATGACCACTCCACTGAGTGTATTTTACTTCACCCTCAGCCGTCTAGAAGGTGGACTGTCGCTGTGTGTTTGAAATGCTCTGTGACGGACCTGACGGGTTTTGTCCTACTTTGTTTGTAGCTTATTTCCTCATATTTAAGAAAACTTTGAGGATTCCTCCTACTTTTATTTTTTGGTTATAATTTGCCTACTAGAAAGTTGTTTCTTTTTGGGGTAAAGTTCTGTGAACTTTGACAAGCAGATAGAAGCGTGTAACTGTAGCAGGTCAGGGTACAGAACCATCTGTCATCACGTCAGAGTCCCTGGTCCTGCTCCTTTGTAGTCACCGTCCTCCCCAGACCCGGGCAACCACCGGTCATGCTTCTCTGTCCCTTTATTTCGGCCTTTTCCGGAATGTCCTGTAACTGGACATGGAATACGTAGCTTTTTGCGTCTGTCGTCGTCGTCTTTTTTTTTTTTTTGAGAGATTTTTGCTATAGGGCGCATGCGCTCACCAGAAAGACAGAGAGACAGACAGAAAGTGAGAAATCACCCCCCAGGAGGGATAGCCACGCTGCAATCCCTTCTCCTCTTGGAATCTTGGGCATGCACGCACACGCGCCCGGCGTGAGTTTAAGCCACCAGGTCCAGGACTCGAACTGTGGTCGACTACGTGGGAGTCCAGCGACATAGCCATTATGCTAGCTGCTGGTCCCACGTCTGTCTTCTTAGCACCATGTAAGAAGCCTTTGCATTAGGGATTCATTGGTGCTGTAGGCAGCTGTAGTCTCCCCTTTTCATAGCACAGTGGTGTCCTTTACCGGGGCACCGCCTGTGCACATTCACGTGACGCCCACTCGAGAGCCACTTGTGCTATCTCCAGTTTCTCCCTGTTGGGAATAAAGCCACTCTACACGTACGCGTGTAGGTGCGGTGGGACATCAAGTTTCTGCTCACTCTGGTAAAAAGCTGAGAGTGGGTGCGGGTTAGGTGCGAAGTGCATGGCTCACCTGCAGAGGAACCGCATGCTCTTTCCCCATGGAGCCACTCCGTTCGGCTCCCCTCCAGCAGGCGTGAGATTGCTCTGCCCTGTGTCCTTCGCAGCCCTTGATACTCCTTTTTTCTTCTCTCTTTTTTGCTATCAGGTGTGTAGGTATGTGGACTGATAGGTAGACATAACTTTATTCTGCTTTAAGGTCGTATTTCCTCGATGGCTGATGATAGTAAATTCCTTTTACTGTGCTTATTTGCCATTTGTATAGCATTTGGTAAAATACTTGTTCAGATATTTCGTTCATTTTTAAAAATGAATGGTTTTCTTACTGAGTTTTTAAAAAAATACCTATTTTGGGAGGCCGATCATGCCCAACAGGGTCTTCATACTACCACCACCCCTAATGTCAGCTGGCCTGGGCCATGGGCAGGCATGTGCATGTACCGGCATGCCCAGCGTTCCCGGGACGTGACCCCCAGACCGTTCCCATACACGTCCAGTCGTGTTACAGCCATGGCACTGACTCTCCCACTCACTCTGAGTTTTTTTTTTTTTTGGGAGAGATTTTCACTGTAGGGCGCGTGCGCTCGCCAGACAGACAGAGAGAGAGACATAGAGACAGAAAGCGAGAAATCACCCCCCAGGGGGGATGGTCACGCCGCAATCCCTTCTCCTCCATTCTCCTCTCGGGATCTTGGGCACGCACGCACACACGCCCGGCGTGAGTTTTAAGCCACCGGGTCCGGGACACGAACCGCGGTCGACTACGTGGGAGTCCAGCGACATAGCCATTACGCTAACTGCTGGTTCCCTCACTCTGAGTTTTGAGAGTTCTTCATATATTCTGGGTATGAGGCCTTTGTTAGATAAGTTTTACATGAATTATTTTCCCCCCGCTTTGTGGCTTGTCTTTTCCTTTTCTTTTTTTTAAAACTTGCCAGCTGGCATGTGCATCCTCCAGGGAATGGCAGGGGGCAGGGAAAGCGCCCCCAGTGGGGTGTAGTCATGCTTCACACTGTAGTCTCTCTTCTCCACTTCCCCATCCTGTCGGGGTGTGGGGCACACATGCACATACCCAGCGCTTGTTTTAAACGACTTGGGCCGGGATTTGAACTGTGTGGTCAGCTATGTGGGATCTAGCTCTCTTAACCACTAGGCCATGGCCTTTTATTTTCTTAATCTCTTTAATAGAGTAGAAGATTTTAGTTTTGATGGAGTCAGTTTCCCAGTTTTTTTCTTAATGATTTTGCTGTCACATCTAAGTCTTTCACTGAGCTTGTTGAATCTGTAACTTTATGTCTTTCATTCACCAAAGTTTAGAAATCTTTAGCCATTATTTTTTCAAACATTTTTTCTGTACCAGCTTCCTTCTCCTTTCCTTCCGAGATACTGATTACATATATATTAGATCTTTGGGTATTGTCCCACATTTTTTCCAATTTTTTTGTCTCTTTTCTGGATAATGTTTTTTTTTTCTTTTTTTTTTTAAGAATTATTTAACCTATTCATTCATTCATTTATTTATTTATTTTAATTTGATTAGAGAGAGATGGGGGGTGGAGAGAAAGTGAAAAAGCAAGCTGCCATGTCCGGGACTCAAACCGTGGTCAGCCATGTGGGAGTCCAGTGTCCTCAACCACCTTGCCACCTGCCAGTCCCTGTATAGTTTCTATTGGTCTATTTTCAAGTTGACTGAATTTTTATATCTCACCTTTATTCTGTTGTTGCTCCCTTATCAATGATCATTTTTGTTTCAGATATTATGTTTTATACTTTCTTTCTTTGCTGAAAATTTTTCTTTAGTTTTTTTTTTCTTTCTTGTAGTGCATATGCACTTGCTAAAGAGAGACAGAGAGATAGAAAGAGGGAAATCGAGACTCCCTCTCCCCTGAGGGGGATGGCCATGCCGCAGTCCTTTCTCTTCCATTCTCCTCTTGGCATTTCGGGCATATAGGCACACCTGCCTAGCGTGCTTTTTCAAGCCGCCAGGTCTGGGACTCCCAATCACGTTGGCCATATGGGAATCTAGCACCTTCACCAACATGCCATCTGCTGGTGTGTCTGTCTCTCAGTTGCCCCAGGGCACATGGCCTCACGAGGAAGGGAAGGCACCCCACCTCCCAGGGGGAGTGTGGTCCTGCCACAATCCTTTTTTTTCTCCTTTTTTCATCCCACCAGGATTTTGGGCATATATACACATATGCCTAGTGTGTTTATTTGAACTAAGTGAAAATGAAAACACAGTTTTTACAAATTTGTGGGATGCAGTGAAAGCTTAGAAGGAAATTTATAATATTGAATGCATATGTTAGAGAAGAAAAAGATTTAAAATTAGTCACTAAGTGTCTACGGAAACCAGAAAAAGAGCAAATGAAATCCAAAGTAAGCAGAAGAGAACAGAGCAGAGGTCAGTAGAGAAAACCAATGAGGCAAGGAGATGAGTCTTTGACAAGATCAGTAGAAGTATCAAACCCTACCCATGCTAACTTCAACAGAAAAGACAGAGGGCTCAAATTTCTTTTTTTTAAAGAGAGATTTTTGCTGTAGGGCATGTGTGCTTGCTAGAGAGACAGAGACTGAGAGACAGAAAGCAAGAAATCACCCCCTGGAGGTATGGCCATGCCACAGTACCTTCTCCATTCTCCTCTTGGGACTTTGGGCATGCAGGCACACGTACCTGGCGTGAGTTTTAGGCTGCCGGGTCCAGGACTTGAACCACAGTCGATTACGTGGGAATTCAGTGACATAACCACTATGCCATCTGCTTGTCTCAGAGGACTCAGTTTCAAATATCGGAAATGAGAGAGGTGATATCGGTAAGAAATAATATGAACAATTCGAGTCCACAGATTTGATAACCTAGATGATACGAACCTTGAAAGGCACAATTTGCCAAAATTCACATAAGAGCTATTTAATTGATTCAATAATTTTGACCTTTCATAACAGAAAACATCAGGCTTACATGGATTCACTGGTAAATTCTACAAAACATTTAAGGAAAAATGATACTGGTTCTCTGTGATCTCTTCCTGTAGATAGAAGCAGAGGGAATTGCTCCTCACTCATTCTGTGAGCCCAGCATTACCTCATGCCAAAACCAAAGACCTTAGAAGAAAACTACAGGCCAGTATTTCTCACACACAGATGCAAACATCCTCAACAAAACATTAACTAACCGAGGGAACAATATAGGAAGAGAATATATACCACAACTACGTGGGATTGATTCTAGAGACGCAAGGCTACTCATCCTTCAAAAATCAGTTCATGTAATCTAGCGTATCTACAGACCAAAGAAGAACATCACATGGTCATAGCAGATACAGAAAAGGCATTTGACAAAACCCAATACCCATTAGTGATAAAAACGCGTACTAAATTATGAAGAGAGAATCATCTCAACTTGATAAAGAATACCTACCCCCCACCCCCAAAAAAAGGAAAGCTAGTAACATCATACTTACTGTGAGAAATTTATTAAGATGAGAAATGAGGCAAAGATGCCGTGATTTAGCAAAGCTTTTCAACATTGTGCTGGGAGATCTAGATGAGGCAGTAACACAGGAAGAGGAGAGAGGAGGTATACGGGTGAAGGGGTAAATAGAGCAGTCCATGCTCCGAGGTGGCAGGTGGTGTGGAAAAACAGAGAGCATTGACAGACGCTGAGTGGGAGTGGGGGAGCAGAGGAGGCGGGGGTATGGTCTCGCCACAGTCTCCTTCTCTTTTCTCCATCCTGTTGGGGTGTTGGGGTGTGCATGCACATTTGCCCCATGTATTTTTCAAGTTGCCAAGGCCAGGATTCGAGCCACATGGTTAACAATGTGGGATCCAGCTCCCTTAGCCCCCAGACCATGGGGCTCTCTTTTATTGTTCATTTTTGTAAGTAAACCTTTATAAAACCTTTATTTTTACAAGGGTTCTGTGAGGCCAGCAGGTGGTGTGGTGGTTAAGATGTTGGACTCACACACGGCCAACCATGGTTTGAGTCCTGGACCTGGCAGCTTGCTTTCTCACTCCTTTTCACCTTCTCTATCTTGCTCTGGTTAAATAAAAAAATAATCATCATAATCAAAATTAATTAAATAGTTCTTTAAAAAATATAAGGGGTCTGTACTTTTAAAGGGTTCTATGAGATGTTCAGAGGATGAGTCAATGCTTTGCACAGACTTTATTTATAAAAAACCCTTATAAGACTATTGGTAAGTGTAATGAGTACGATAGCTAAGGGTGAAAATTGTACAAACTAGCACATGTATTCTGGAAGTTCATCAGTGTTGCTCCTGTGCCTTCTCATTATTCACCTATTACTTGCTTCTGGCCTTTACTATAACACAGGTGTGTTTTATGATTCAGAACAGAAGGTGTAACAATAACACTTGTGAAAATGTGATATACTGAGTCACGGTGGTTGATCTTGTCTCAATAGATTTGGGATAAAACCAGCCTGGAATGTCTGAAAGTGCTAACAGGACACACAGGCTCTGTTCTCTGTCTTCAGTATGACGAACGTGTCATTGTAACGGGCTCTTCAGATTCCACAGTGAGGTGAGTGATCGGGCCTTGTTGGTGCTCCTAGCCTTCCACTAGGACCCCGCGGTGTGCACCCTCTCTGGGATCCGCACACGTGTACTTTCACACACACTGCTGTGCGGTATTCCAAACCTCTTGGACACAGAGGTGGTGCTGGCTCACCGCTGTTCTCGTAGAGGTGACAACATGTGTTCTCTGGAAGCACATTACCCGGTATCAGGCTAGCTCTCTTCTCTTGGGAGACTGTGGTGCAGGGTGGAGATGAGTGGTCTGGGCCATCAGCCTCCAGATTCAGAGTGGAGAGTCAGACATGTTTTGCAGAACTTTCTGAGGGGCAAGAGTCAAGTGAAATGAGAGCCAGAAAGCACGTTAGGTGTTTTGTATTATGTTATCCTATTGAGTTCTCTCTTCAACCTCTCCAAGTAGGTGGGTGTTGTTTCCATGTTTAGAGATACATTAGGAGGCCAAGACCAGAGAAGGCTAGAGCTTCCTGAGGATTACATGGTACATTCTGAACCTGGGATCTTATTGGCCATACTGGGGACATAGATTCCTCGACGGTGGAGATACTGCTTTTCATCCGCATCCCAGGGCAGAGGGATGCAGTGAGAGCGACCGTGCTCCACGGGAAGAGGGGAACAATGACTGCACATTGGGTTGGGAGTGGAAAGGGAACATAGTGAGACCCACTCCCCTACCTCTGATTTCCCACATGGGCTTTGGAGTGGGGTGTAGCAACGAGGACATCCGAGCTGGCATCACACAGGACAGCCTCTGCCGGACTCTTGGTGATTCTGAGAAGGCCATGCCTCTTCTGGGCTGTCAGGTGCTTGAAGAAGACCGTTTAAAGGGCACATCTAAGAGATTAGAACCGTCACTGAGCCTGTCGTCGGGTTCCCAGATCCCCCTCTTTTCGATCTTTTAGCTAACTTGTTCCTCTGCCACAGTCCTGCATGTACCCCCCTGCTGCTCACGATAGGCCTAGGACCTTTGCCCTGACTCAGTGCTCCCAGGGAGAGGAAGGCCACAGCCTCTGCCAGCAGCGTGGGTGCCCAAGTCTTCTCTCCTCTGCTCGGTGTCAGCTTGTCCCCTGAGGAGACTGAGGACATAGAACACCTGCGCTGTGGAAAGATCACCTCTGGAAACCTCGTACCTCCAGTGTAAAGCCATTGGGAGGTTGATTTTTGTCCAGAAAGCAGCTGAACAAAGAAATGGGGGGGGGGGTCGTGTGATTGATTGCCGTCTGTGAAATAGTGAGCTCAGAGGCCTGTCAGAAGTCAGCTAGAACTTTATTCACAGAACTACCCTTCATGCCTCAGCCGTCAAGCCTCTCTACTCTTGTCATCGCAAACTCATGGCAAAGACTATTTTCTTTATTCTTTTCTTTTTAAAAATTTTATTCATTGTCATTATTTTTATTTTATTGAAGTTGACCAAAAAGAGAGAGAGAAAGAAAGTGAGAAAGCAAGCTGCCAGGTCTGGGACTCGAACCATGGTCAGCCAGGTGGGAGTCCAGCCGCCTTAACCACCATGCCACCTGCCGGCCCCAAAGCCCATTTTACTAAGGCATGTCCTTTCCACCAGCCAGCCTGCCTGTGCCTTCCTGAGTACCTGACTGCTGAGTAAAACTAAAACGAGCAGCCACAATTAACTGCTTCTCTGAAGCCAGCTCAGTACCTCTCAGCAAATAAATTGTTCTGCAGGCTTTTGTTAAGCGTGTGCTTAGATTCATTAAGGATGGACCCAGAACTCCTATGCAAAATCCTTTCCTGGCTGTCTCAATAATTAAGCATTTTCTGTCCTCATCCAGAGTCTGGGATGTGAACACGGGTGAAGTTCTTAACACGCTGATCCACCACAACGAGGCCGTGTTGCATTTACGCTTTAGCAATGGGCTGATGGTCACCTGTTCCAAGGATCGTTCCATTGCTGTGTGGGACATGGCTTCTGCCACCGATATCACTTTACGCCGTGTCCTGGTTGGCCACCGTGCTGCTGTCAACGTAGTAGACTTCGATGATAAGTACATCGTATCTGCCTCTGGTGACAGGACCATCAAAGTAAGTGTCTGCCCTCATAACCCTGCCTGCTCCTGTCCCCTTCAGAACAGAGCGAGCAGGAGTGGCTTATCCCGACCTGGTACTTGGTGGGATCTTTTTTCTTCTCTGTGCTTGTGAGCTCTCAAGGCCATCCGCTGTACATGCTTCCAGAATCAAAGGTAAGGTAGGAGGAAAGGCATAGGTCCAGACCAGGCAGGCAGCAGTGCTCTGGGTAGTTTTTTTAAGGGGAAGAGAACTGAGCAGTTACATGCACCATGAGCTGGGAGCTGTGTATTACCAGCTCCCTTAACTGTCCTGCACTCTTCGGGAGACAGAATTGCCTCCGTTCTAAGGATGTGCTTCAGGGAGTAAAGAACCGTGTTGGAGGTCACATAACTAGTTAGGGGCAGAGCTTAGATTTGATACATTAACTAGTTTTGAGAGCCTGCCATGCCATAGGCCCTGGGCTGGACACTGGAGATAGGACGACAACTAAGACACGTCCCTGATTTCAAGGAGCTCAGCGTGTGGCAGTGGACAGGTAAACATGTGACAAGCAGCTGTAGTCTTGATAATCCAGGGTGATCTGCAGTACATGGTAAAGGCTGTTTTGATTCTAGTATCCATGTTAACTTTTTTGAATTTTAGATTTCTTACATTGTTACAACAGCTTTACTGAGAGCTAATTCCCATACCATAAGATTCAGCATCGTAAAGTGTATGTACTTCAGTGAACTTAGTACATTGCAGTGTTGTATAACATCACCACTCTCTAGTTCCAGAACGTTTTCATCACCCTATAAAAATCCTCATACCCATTAGCAGTCCATCCACACGCTCTCTCCCTAGTCTCTGGCAATCAAATCTACCTCTGTGGATCTGCCTGTTCCAGACATTTTATAGAAATGGAATCACATGCTCTGTGGCCTTTTGTGTCTGGCTTCTTTCACCTAGTGTAATGTTTTCAAGGTTTACTTGTGTGCATTGTATTAGGTCGTCAGGAGGGTCATGACGTGTTTTTCTGTGCAAAAATGTGTCATGACTTTCCCAGTGACCCAATAGTTTATCTCAGTATTTCATGCCTTTTTAAAAAAGTTTTATTTGTAATAGAGAGGTATGTAGTGGTATCTCTGTGGTTTTACCCTGTATTCCCTAATGACTAATGATATTGAGGGAAAAATTATTTTTAAATCTTTTGCCATTTAAAAAATTAGATATATATCTATTGTTGAGTTGTAAACATTCTTCTTAAAATTTTTTAAAAATTATTTTTATTTAACTTTATTTGTTTCATTATTTATTTGTATTTTAATTTGACCAGAAAGGGAGAGAGAGAGAGCGAGAGAGAGAGAGCGCGAGCGAGCAAGCGAGGCCCCAGGACCAGGAATTAAACCACAGTTGGCCATGAGGGAGTCCAACGTCCTTAACCACCACGCCACCTGCTGGCCCCTATAAATATTCTATTTTCTCCCACTCTGGATTGTCCTTTGAGGCACAACTCATTTTCACTTGGATGGCCTCCAGTTTATCGATTTTTGTTGTTCTCGTTGCCTGTGTTTTTGCTGTTGTATCTAACAAACTGTTGCCTAATCCATGGTCACAGAGGTTTATGTTTTCTTCCAAGAGTAGTTTAGCTTCAGTTCTCACACGTAGGTTTTTGGTCCATTTTGTATGTGGTGTGAGGTAGGGGTCCAATTCCATTCTTTCTGCATGTGGATATCTATCCCATTCAACTACAGTGTAGTTGGTAAGATGATTCAGGGCAGTTTGGTTGCTTTATATTTCTTTATTGACTTATAGTATGTTAAGTTTATCCATGAACATCTAAATATTATGGATACTTTAATTAAAAGGAGGATTATTTATTCCACATACATTATTTTAAGAGTCCTGTGGCCAAAAAATGGAGCTGTTCAAGAACTGTGTTGGAAAAGAGAATGATAGAAAAGTGCAGCCTTTTTACATCAGCTACATTGGATTTGACATGTCAGCTGGCATAAAAATGTAAAATCTAGCCCAAACTGTTTTCTCTAGGCATTTAGTTGAATGCCTAAACAATCCAGGAGATGTTCTTTTTGTGAAGACCTCAAAGTCTGGAGGCTTCACTACTTCTGTCTGTCTTTCATTACAGTTTTATCACTCAGCAGCCAGGAAAATGTTACGCTGTCTAATCTGTCCTCCTGTCTTCCAGCTTGGAGTTAGAGGAGACCATATTTTATAACTGTATATCTGGGTGATTCTCAGAAGCTCTTTCTTTTTCCAAAGGTATATTGCGGGAGGACTTTGCTGTAGTCATTCTTTAAAGTATTGCTAATTTGTCCTATAGGTCTGGAGCACAAGTACCTGTGAATTTGTTCGAACTCTCAATGGGCACAAGCGAGGCATTGCCTGTCTCCAGTACCGGGACCGGCTTGTTGTCAGTGGATCCTCGGATAACACCATTAGGTGGGTAGAAGTCATCGTGCTCACAGAGCAGGTGCCGACTAGCCCAGGACCAGTGGTCCTATGGCTCAGAGTAAATGTCATGCTCCAGATCAGAAACGTTGAGGTAATGCTCATAAATCTGTGTGGCTCTGCACACGGTCATGCAGGGAAGCTGTGTGCCTTGGGCGTTGGCGTCCAGGACTCCCCCCGTGCAGAGCATTTTATGGCTTCCATCTCTAGCCAGGATCACTTAGTATCAGCACAACCTGCCCCACCTTCCCTTCCCTGTGAGCGTCCACCTCCCTCCCAAACAGATGGGAATGCACTTTATTTCCCTCTCCCAAGGTGTATTACAAAGTCATCCACTCCTGGGGCCAGCCCAGGGCCTGGTGGTTAAGGCAGCTAGGTGCCCCATGGCCGACCGTGCAGTTAGGCTTAACCCTTCAGAAGCATGCAGGGCACGTATGTATGTATGCCCAGACTCCTGAAGGGGGAGAGAGAGAAGGGATCACAGTGTGATATGCCCCATTGTGTGTGGGGTACTTTCTTACCCCCACCCCCACACTCACATGCCCTTTAGCAAATTAAAAAAAAAATCCACTCCTGCTGGGTCACTTGTTTGACCTTCCATTTTTCTTCCCCAAACTCAGTCTCATTGCTTTCTAATAAATATGACCAGACCTGGACATTTTATATCTTATTGAGAACATCCCTTAAATATCTCGTGATCCCAAGTAATTTTTCTGCTATCCCAACACATCCTCACAATTTTATGTAACTAACTATGATTTTGGGGTTTATAACCAACGTGCCTAAGGTTTGACAAAATAAAGATTGGGTTCAAGATTATTTCTATATTACTTTAAGATTGTGAAAGTTAGTTGAGAACTTAAACTCTGGTTCTACTGTGCTCATCATGCTGTGTAGCATTGCTTGATGTGCCACCGCAAGCAGTCCTTCCTCCTGAGACTCTCTGAGGTTTTACAAAGTAAGAATGCGTGTTCTCCGCAGTTCACAGAGGGGGACTGCTCTGATTGTCACTGTGGCGGTGCTGAGTGGCCCTGTCCACAGTAGATCACTGACAGCAGGATTTGCTGAAGGCAGTATGATAAAGTGCTCACGGATGTGTGATAGCTACTGGTGGACAAGCTAAGAGAAAGTCGGCGGAATGAGTTATGCTTACTTTGCTTTGTACATGCTAGTGTGCTGTGATTCCTTTTTCCAAATAATGTGGAAATGTCAGTCATAATAGAAAAAAGAGGAAAAAAGAAATCTAACTTTCGAATTTTTATATAAATCATCTGCAGAGACAGAGACTTGGGGGTTTATATTTCCAAGATACCGTATGTGCCTACTGAGTCTCCCACTCCGATTCTGTGGACTGGTGACCCTAGCATTTAGTGTGTATCAAGGAAGGCTGGTCCCTAAGCTGCATCGGGAGGTGGAGACCACCATGCCGGCCTCGGTGGCTCTCACGGACTGCAGGCTGGAAGTGCTGGGAGGAAGCTCAGCCCCTGGCCGTATGCATTTTCTCCGGCCCTCCTCCTCCCTCGTTTGTGCCTTTCCCCTGCTTGCCTGCAGCCTTTTACCCCCGCCCCCCGCCCCGAAAAGTCCTTCTTAGACCCTTTCACTATATGGTTGCATCTTACTTAAACAGTAATTCAGGCACATGGTTTTAAAAGTTTCAAACCTTACGAAAGGAAATATGATAAAAGCAAGCTTTCCTTCTAAGTTGGCGGTTGGAAACACAAATGGTTTGTAAATGTACATGCACAGCCTCTGTGTGTCCTGTAGACTGGGAGTGAGCGAGGAGAGGACTCAAGGGCAGGGAAAAGCTGTATCTGAAACAGAACTAGAGGGTCGGGTCAGACATGTGGGAAGTCGTTTCACGGAGGTCTCTGTTTTATTCAAGGCTGTGGGATATTGAATGTGGCGCCTGTTTGAGAGTCCTGGAGGGGCACGAAGAGCTGGTGCGGTGCATCCGCTTTGATAACAAGAGGATCGTCAGTGGGGCCTATGACGGGTACGTGTGGCCGTGTCCGATGTGCCCGTAACTGTCACGAAGCAGAAGTGCTGGCTGTGCCAGGCCGTCGGAGCACTTCCTGTGCAGTTACCATACCAACGTGTCCGGTGAGGACGCCCTGAGTGAAGCCTTGTCTGGGATCACACGGCGGAGAGCCACCGAGGTTCCCAAGCTCACGCCATTAACCGCCGTTCAAACTCAGGCAGCGCGGCCCGTGGGGAAGCCAGCTGTCTGCTTTAGCCCAGCCAGGCTGCGTGTGAGAGTCAGTCAGACGTTTCTTCCTCTCTCCCGATAAAGGAAACACATCTTTAAAACGCTTTACTTTTCAAACGAGCACATGGCAACTGGAGACCTTTCAGGATGACCTTCTGTACCCCTGACAGTTGGGCCAGCGGGTCTGCTCGTATGCCTGTGGCTGCTCACTCTCGGCCTGTGCTTAGTTTGGAGAAAAGCATTCTTGGAATTGCACACGGTCCCTCGCTTCTGTCAGCAGCACCTCCTCAGCCTCGGAGGCCCTGATGATTGACTGTGGTGACATAGATTACCCTGGACTCGCTTTCTTGATTCCCTTAACGTAGTACTTCTTCAGAGTTTCAGAAGTTCTGAGAATATGTCAGTCCTTATTTTTTTTCAAAATCAAGTGTAATTGTTTTGAGTAACTTGTTAAAGTGTAAGCACGTTCCTCATTAGCTTTTGTAATGAGCAATTCCAAAGCACTCTTCATCAAGGAGGTGCTTGAGTGTACAGATAGCACCTTCTCCACTAATCACTGTCTCGTTTTCCTTTCTAGGAAAATTAAAGTTTGGGACTTGCAAGCTGCCCTCGACCCTCGCGCCCCAGCCAGCACCTTGTGTCTGCGCACGTTGGTGGTACGTGACCCACTGGGCTGGGACTGGCTTCCCGTGCTGAAGGCTGGCCGCCTGCAGACAGCTCTGTCCAGGGGTCCCGCAGTAACAGGCCTTAGAAAAACTCACTGTTCACGTGTGTGGTCACGGTCAGAGGCGGTTTGGCATTAACGTCACCGTGAGCTCGTCCCTAAGGAGTAATAGTGCAACTTGAGATACGTGTGCAGGCTTCTTCATGGGCGGGTGGACTGGTTTCCTTGTAGAGCATGCAGTGTTCTTTCCTGTAGGTTCGGAAGCTTTTTAAATATTGGCTGTCCGTGGTTATGCTACATTGTTATAACACAGCAGGTTTTTCTACCATGAGGGTACCCCCTCCATCTGTCTATAGTTCTGTGGGTTATTGCCATGGCATACAGGAATACTTCATTTTTGTGTTAATCCTGTTTTGGCAGCTTTGCCAAGGCCGTTATTTCTTTTCTTTTCTTTCTTTTTTTCTTTTTTTAAGATTTATTTATTTATTTCCATTTTTTGTCATTTTTAAATTTGACCAGATAGAGATAGAGAAGGGGAAAGCAAGAAAGCAAGCCGCCAAGACCGGGTGTCAAACCACGGTCAGCTATGTGGTTAGATCCAGCCAGCACCTTTGGGACCAGCAGTTGGCATAATGGCTATGTCACTGGACTCCCACATAATCCACCGTGGTTTGAGTTCCGGACCCGATGATTTAAACTCACGCTGGGCACATGTGCGTGCCTGCCCAAGATCCTGAGAGGAGAATGAAGAAGAGATTGTGGCGTGGCCATCCCTCCTGGGGGGTGATTTCTCACTTTATGTCTCTCTGTCTCTCTCTGTCTTTCTGGCGAGTGCATATGCCCTATAGCAAAAACCTCTCCAAAAAAAAAAAATCCAGCACCTTTAACCACCTTCCACCTACCACCCCCAAGGTCATTATTTCTAATGTAGTTGATTCTGTTTTAGTTTTTGAGGAGATTGTTTTTAAAAATATTGGTAGATTTTGGGACCAGCAGATGGCATAATGATTATGTCACTGGATTCCCATGTAGTTGATTGGAGTTCGAGTCCTGGACCCAGCAGCATAAAATTCACACCAGATGCACGTGTGTGCATGCCTAAAATCCTAGAAGAGAATGGAGGAGAAGGGATTGCAGTATGGTCATCCCCTCTGAGGGGTGATTTCTTGCCTTCTGTCTCTCTCGTGAACGCATGTACCTTATAGCAAAAGTCTCTCTCTTAAAAAAAAAAAAGATATTTTTGTTTTCTGTAGCTTTTCTATTTCTTCACTTTCTGAATTAACTCAAACACATAGAACCATATTTAGGGTCATTCTTTTTTTACATATAAATTTTAATGGGAATGCTTTTAATGTATTGGCATTTTTTTTTTCTTTTTAAAATCTGCTGGAGGATAAAGAGAGAGAAAGTACTCCTTTAATCAAACATAGTCACTCCATAATCCCTTTTTCTTCTACTTCGCTATCCTGTTAGAATTTTGAGCATATACACACTCACACCTAGCATTTTTCCTCAAGCAGTTGGGGCTGGGATTCGAATTGCGGTGGGTACATGGGCTCTGTCTCTCCATGCCCAGTGCTTAACTCCTGTGCCTCAGGGCTGACCCATGAATTTTTTCATTTTAATATTTATTTCCTGAGGGAGTGGTGAGGTGGTGTACTGAAGTCAGGGTCTTCACACTGTAACCCTCCCCTCAGCCCTGCAGTCAGCCAGGGCCGTAGGCACCTCCCTGGGCTTACTCATGCAGATCCAGGGTGCGAACCTAGACCTTCCCTCTGCTGCACTGCTATGACCAAGCCATCACCATGAATTTCTACGTTGGCTGTGGTTTTAGGTGGATATTCTTGGTTATATTAAAAAGAAATTATCCTTCTGGTGTAGGTTTTCTTTTTCTGATTAAAATTTTTTCTTAAAGAGTTATTTGATTTTACTGATTTATTAATATTTTTTAGTTTGGCCAGAGAGAGACAGCAAGAGAGAGAAAGTGAGAAAGCAAGCTACCAGGTCCAAGACTCGAACTGCAGTCGGCCATGTGGGAGTCCAGCACCGTAATCACTATGCCACCTGCCAACCCCCTGGTTATAGTTTTTACAACAGTGTCAAGAATTGGTATTATATGTTGTTGTTTGGCTTTCTAAAGCCCTTTGTAAGATTAATAGGTCAGGATGTAAGATACAAAGTTCAATAGCATAAAAGGTCTAGAAGGAAAAGAAAAGAATTTGTTCTTGGAGTGAGGAACAAAGCTCACTAAGCTCTGGGGAATTATTTAGGAAGCTGGGATAAGTAACAGCATTTTCATCTTGTGCTAAATCTTACTTCATTGTAGGATAGGAGGGATTGTAAAGATCTCATTTTATTCATAAAGCTGTTTTATTTTATAGGAACATTCTGGACGTGTGTTTCGGCTACAGTTTGATGAGTTTCAGATCATCAGCAGCTCCCACGATGACACTATTTTGATTTGGGATTTCTTAAATGTGCCTCCCAGTGCCCAGAATGAGACCCGTTCTCCCTCCCGAACATACACCTACATCTCCAGATAACAGTCTGCACTTGCACCCGTTCCAGGTGAGCTCCCCTGCCGCTTTCCGTTCACTCTCCTGAGGGTGGGATTCTGTGATTGGGGCTCCTCCATCGCGGGAATTGAGGTCGCTGCTCGATGTGCTAGCTTTCGGGGAGTTCTGGTGTAAGGTGAGGTCTTCATTGTCGCAACACAACAGTCCAGACCGGACTCCTGCGTGACGTGGGCCTTCATACTGCAGAGGATGAGCATGGCTGTTTTATTATTTTACTTTAAAGAATATTTATTTATCTATTAGGTTATTACCACAGGGCGCGTGTGCTCGCTGGAGAGAGAGACAGAGAGGGGGAAGTGGGAAATCACTCTGCAGGGGAAATGGCCACGCCACAGTCCCTTCTCTTCCATTCTCTTCCGTTCTCTTCCTGGGAGTTTGCACATGTATGCACACATGCTGTGTGAGTTTCAAGCCACTGGATCCTGGGTGTGAATTGTGGTCGCCATGTGGGAGTCTAGTGCCTTAACTACTACACCACCTGCTGGCTCCTGTGACTGCTTTAAAAAACTGTTTTCTTCACTGGGACCAGCAGTTAGCGTAATGGCTGTGTCGCTGGACTCCCACGTAGTCGACCGCAGTTCGAGTCCCGGACCTGGTAGCTTAAACTCACACCGGGCGCACGTGCATGTGTGCCCAAGATCCCAAGAGGAGAATGGAGGAGAAGGGATTGTGGCGTGGCCATCCCCCCTGGGGGGTGATTTTTCACTTTCTATCTCTCTGTCTCTGTGTCTCTGGCGAGCACACGCGCCCTATAGCAAAAACCTCTTAAAAAAAAAACGTGTTTTCCTAACTGACTCCCTGGTCACGTCTGTTTAATACCAGTACCATCCCTCCAGTTTTATTCTAGGGTATAAGAAGCTTCTTTTTCTCTTTCTTTTCTGTCCTTAAGTTCTTTTATTTAAATAACCATCAACAAAACACTAAAACTCCTCCTTCCCACTCCCACAATTTACCCCCAACCACCGCAGCTTTGAGGATGAATCATTTTTTACCCACGAGATGCAACAGGACCAGAGCTCAAAGTCTGGGCACGGGGACCCATCGTAGGCGTCGGTGACAGCACTCTGAGTCCCGGGGTTTCTAGTCTAGGAGACGAGCGGCGTCACGCAGCCTCCTGAGCGGGGTGGCTGCCCTCCTGCTGATGCTGCGCTAACTTTATAATAGATCTTCCAGCTTTTTGTTATTAAACAGTTTTGACTATACTAGTTTTTTTAGGTTTTCACTTTCAGTTTTAAATTAGACTGTCAAATTCTAGGAATATAGCTTCTGGGATCGTGATGAGGATAGCACCGAATCCTAAGACCGTTTTGGAAGCATCTCTGTTGTAATAAACCTGAGGTCTTCCTGCCTGTTACCGTGGTGCGACTCTCTTATTTAGGTCTTCTTCAGCTTAAGTAATGTCTTAAAGTTCTTTCTGTTAAAGTCTTGCGCATTTTTTTGTTAAATTTATTTCATTCTCAACTTTTTTCTTCATTTTATTAACTGCTCTTTTCTATATAAGAGAAGCACACAGAGTAGAATGTGGACAGTTACAGGTCCACTGGGCTCTGGAGTGAGTGAGTTCAGGGCCGCAGGTGTGTCACGGAGCAGTTTAAGTACACTTTATTTGTATATTTTTCTTTTTTAAAAGAATCCTTTTTAAAAAATGTGTGTTTTGTATTTAGGAGACACAGGTTTTTTGTTTGTTTTAATTCTGTTTGTTTGAATTGCCAGATCTACATGTGCTGGACAGGGAGGAAGCACCCTCCAGTGAGGTGTGGTCACACTGCCGTGTCTTCTCTCTCTCCATCCTGTTGTGATTTGGGGCATGCTCACGCACACACACGCACCCGGTGTGTTTTTCAAGTTGCCAGGGCCTGGATTTGAACTGTGGTTGGCCAGCTTCCTTAACTGCTAAACTATGAGACTGGCTCCTCATTTGTATTTTTAATGTGTGTCTGTGTCTTTACGCTCTGTTTACAAAGGCACATGGTAAAGTCCAGGACATCCATACAATTTTTTTCCTGGTATATTTAATGGATGCATTGATAGCTTTTATGTATTACCTAAACGTAACCCGAAACAAGAGGATTCATTTGGTTGAGAGGTGAAGTGTAGTGACCACCACTAGCCATGGTGGAAAGGAAGCTTCTATTACTTCTTCCAGAACCGTCCCCCCACCCCCTTTTGGGAACCTAAGGACAGCTGCCTTGTTATGACCCACAGTTGTAAGTCAGTGGAAAATCTATCTGCTTAAGGTAGCGGGAGTTCTCTGTCGCACAGCACAACAGCAAGGCCTGAGTATGTCCGTCCCTTCCAAATGAATTACTTCGGACAACTTTGGCAGTCAGATTTATAGATTTTATTGCTCTTTTCCAAATTCTTTTCATTTATTATAACATGAAAAAAATTATTACCATGTGATATACTGTAAGATTTATGCACAATAAGAAATTCTACCCTAATGAGGATTTGATCTGGTAGTAAAAGAGTCACCCCAAGAATACTGGGTAAGAGGATTTCTGTGGCAGAAAATGTGGCAACAGACGCGTGTGCCCAGCCATGAAAAAAGAAAAAGATGACTACCTTTTCAGAGCTGTAAATATAGTCACTCAGATTTGACTCTCCTCTTCCTTGGCATAGGACAGTTGGAGCTCTCACCAGGTAGTGAGGAAAGGTCGACCAGGTCGTAGGGAAAACACACGCCCCCGTACCTCTGCTCCTCCCCTGCTGATGGCCTGTCACGCTCCTTACAATTAGGGCTGACGACTCTATGCTTTTGAAATACTCTGCCCCCTCTTTATTATGAAATTGTTGCTTATCAGCAATATCGATATTGTCGACGTTGTCATATATTTGGTTGTTTAACCATGTCCTGTCATTAGATATTTATGTCCCCCGTCACTTTTAGTGATCATGAGAAACGTCGCCATCATCATTCTTTCAGCTCAATCCTGTCCAACCCCTTATTACACGGAGGCCGGACTCTGGGAATACTGGAGTGTCTGGGTTTGGCGACTCGAGCCGTCTCCCGCAGGGTCGAGCAGTGGCTCCGTCAGGAGCAGCAGAGAGCACCTGTCAGTGTGTCTGATCTCCGGGTGTCAGCACTTCCCAAATGATGCTCACTTTAAATAGTCTCCGTGGGAAAATAATGGCAAATAAATTTAATTTTTCTTTTACTTACTGAGAAAGATTATTAGGATTCTTGATTTTTATGAAAATTGACAGCCTTGAAAGAAAGTTGCCTTAAAGGGAGCAGGTGGTGATGCCGAGGTGCTGGGCTCCCACATGGCCCACCACAGTTTGAGTCCCAGACCTGGCAGCTTGCTTTCTCATTTTCCCTTTCTGTCTCTCTTTCTCTCTCTCTTTCTCTTTCTCTCTCCATGTCTCTCTCTGGTCAGGTTAAAAAATAATAAAATTAAAAAAAAATTTTTTTTTGAGAGGTTTCTGCTATAAGGTGCATGCGCTCACCTGAAAGACAGAGAAACAGAAATCACCCCCCAGGGGGATGGCCACGCCACAATCCCTTCTCCTCCATCCTCCTCTCGGGATCTTGGGCACACATGCACATGCACCCAGTATGAGTTTAAGCCACTGAGTCTGGGACAAACCGTGGTCGACTAAATGGGAGTCCAATGATGTAGCCATTATGCCAACTGCTTGTCCCTTATTAAAAACAATTTTTAAAGGGATTTTTGCTATAGGGCGTGTGCGCTTGCCAGAGAGACAGATAGACAAAAAGTGAGAAATCAACCCCTGGGGGCATGGCCATGCTGCAATCCCTTCTCGTCCATTCTCTGAGCTGTCAGGATTTTGGGCACGCATGCACACATGCCTGGCATGTTTCAAGCTACCGGGTCTGGGACTTGAACCACAGTCAGCCATGTGGGCGTTCAGTGCCTTAACCACCATGCCACCTGTTGGCCCCAAGCATACAAGCTTTAAAAAGCTTTTTTTTCCCCTGCAGAACTTTAGACCTAAATTGTCTTTAGATTATCTAGTCAGTGGTTCAGTGAGTATTTGGAAAGGGTTGTGACCTATCAGTGATTGTAAAGTAATTGGAGTAGAGTTTGACTTTGATTTAGAATTTAAAAATGTTAGTGTGCGTTGTACATAGTAACGATGAAGGTTGCCTCACGGATATTCGGTATTAGGGGTGTGTGCGCGTGTGCGTGTGTGTGCATGTGCGTGAGTGTCTACACACATATGAGGACGAATGCAGAGATTGTGATTAGAATGTGTTTCTGATTCAAGGCCATGGTCAAAAAAGTAAGGAACAGTCAGTGGTCTTTCCCCCACACAGGATTATCCTTTAAAAATTATGTATTTAAGATAGAAGTAACTGTCTTTTCCTTTTCTTTTCTTTCTTTTTTTTTTTTTAATTTTTTTTAAAATTTTAATTGCTAAAGGGATGTGCACTCACCAGAATGACAGGGAGAGGGAGAAAGCACCCCCAGTGGGGCATGGTCAGGCCCAGTCCCTTCTCAGTCCCCCCGTCCTATCAGGTTTTGGGCACACAAGCAGTTACTTTTAGTGTGGTTTTCAAGCCGTGGGGTCCAGGATTCAAACCATGTTAGGTCATGTGGTATCTGCTCCCTGAACCACTAGGCCAATGGGGCTAGCCCCCAAAGTAATGTCTGATTCTTACCATTCTGTTTAGAAGGGATAATTTATTTACTAACTTCATAGTTTTGTTTCACAGTGATAGGTGAAGGCTCTTGTGGGGATATGAGACAGGCCTTTTTTAGTCTCCGAATGTCAGAAAAGACTACATTGATTATAAAATCTAATTTTAAATGTGTTTTGTTACATGCATAGTTTAAACTTTTTTTAAAAATTTAATCATAGCAGGGGACCAGCAGTTAGCATAATGGCTATGTCGCTGGACTCCCATGTAGTCGACCGCGGTTTGTGTCCTGGACTCGATGGCTTAAAACTCACGCTGGGTGCCTGCGCGTGCGTGCCCAAGATCCCGAGAGGAGAATGGAGGAGAAGGGATTGTGGTGTGGCCATCCCCCCTGGGGGCTGATTTCTCACTTTCTGTCTCTGTCTCTGTCTGTCTGGCGAGTGCACACGCCTTACAGCAAAAACCTCTCCAAAAAAAAAAAAAAAAAAAATAATCACAGCAGAGAAAGTGAGAGAGACACATGGGCATTCTGCATAGGGTTTGGGCATGCTGCAGCCCCTTTCCTCCAGCCCTTCAGCCCCCCAGCCTGGTGGATAACACCCAGCCTGGTGCTCATGTGTATGCCTGGTGTGTTTCAGGCTGTCTGGGCCAGGGATCTGAACCACAGTCACCATGTGGGATGTGCATGCATTGCACCTTGGAGCTGGCCTGTGCATACCTTCTAGCAGCAACACTGAAAGATGATAGGATATAGGGTCAGCTCACTCTGAATCCCCTCTCTGTCGCTTAGTAACGTTTCTGGCCTTATACGAAGTGGGTATTGTAATAGAGTTGTTTGGAGGTTTAGGCAAATACGATACCTGGAATGAGGCCCACTCAGCCTGCAGCTTTTATGTGTGTGCTAGTTATCTGAGAAGCCGTGTCTGTTAGGAGTGCACATGTGTGAGGATGACTGTGTGGACGGTTACTGGGTGTGGTGTATACATCCTTATCCGGCCAGAACGCCCAACCATCCTCTCTGATCTCGGTTCTTTTCAGGGTTTCCTAGTCTTGAACTACTGGCTACATGGCAACCAGATGCCTACGGGAGTTCATTCACAGCTGAGTTACGAAGCTGGGATTGGTTCTAGACGCTGGGTAGATGCAAAGCAGCCTAACTCCTCAAGTACCGACATTTCTCACCTCTGATTCCGGCTCTACTTTGAGAAGGATACCTTAGCTTCACTGACTTCGAGTAGAACAGAAGCCCACTTCCTTCCCCCATCAGTGAAAAAATCTAATGCTTCAAGTGTAAATTGTTCATAGAAAAGGAGCGCAGTCTGTTTTACAGAAGTAAATCCACCGTCAAGAGAAGACTTGGCCTCTAATTTATATTGCTTTGCACTTTGGTCTGATATTAAGAAACAGCATTCTTCTTCAGTGAAATTTTGGGTGCCAAACACCTACCCAGAATGTCCAGGGCCTTTCTTTTCAGAAGTTAGCATTCTCCTTTTGACCGTCCAAGTCATTATGAATTCTGACTTGTATTAGAAACATGTTGGACAATGGAGAAGTCCCTCTGGATTGTTATAGTAATATTTTTTGGATTACATTTTCTTTCTGTACCAACTTCTTTTAATTTAAAGAACGATAAGCCAGTTATAGTCTCTTCCAACAGGTAATACCGCTCTTTTCTTTTACTCACTGTTCTCTGTCCCGCAGCCATCTCCTGATCCTTGGTAGAGGACACCTTTGTACGTGTGCTTGCCTCCTAATTTAAAATACTGTATCCGCATGTAGATATAATGTACATAACAGTTGAACCTCAAGGTTGTTGGCGTCAGGGCCCTCTGTGCCTGAGACACTAATAGAGTGTGTTCGCACTTGGCCACGGGCTGGGCCCAAGGACCTGATACCAGGGTTGATGTGGATGGCCTAGAACCCTTCCTGCAGTATTCACATGTATTTTTATTTTGTCGTCATTGTGTGTGTGCACGCATGCGTGCGCCGTGTGTGTTTTTAATGGGGATCTTGTTTTAAAATGTAATTTCTAAAGCTTCACACAAAATGTTGTGTTTGTTGTGCAGTATGTACAATAGGGAGGTACTCGAACATTTTTTTTGTTATTGTTGTTTTCCTTCTAAGTACTCCTGAGTACTAGTGGTCAGTCCCCTAGTGTTCATTTGGCTTCACTGTCAAACATCGTTTTCCTGTGCAGTAGTGACCCCAGGAAGGGAGAAAAGAAGGCCCTCCTCACCACGTCTCGGGCTCCCGAACCCGCGCATCCTGGCCCTGGCGGGGTGTCAGCAGGGCCTGCAGAGCAGGTCGGACTGGCTCCGAGGCCCCTGGTGAAGAGAAGACACTCCCACCGGGTGCGAGTCCTCGAGTCCGTGATCTGATCCCGCTTGTCTCTGGTGTCCCCCGCTGCCGTGGCCCCAGCAGGGTCTCAGAGTCCCTGAGTGCTCGGAGCCCGAATGTGTGAATGTCACCGTTGCACTGACCACGTGTGGCGAGGACTTGGGCATCCACGGTCAGCACTCCTGCTCCCGTGTCTAATGGTAGATTTTGATTTGCCCCCTGCCATTGTTTCCAAAGATCAAGGAATGTCAGTACCATTTTGAAGGACCAATAGACGACCTCCTGTGCGTTACCCTCGCTGGGAGCACACGCGACTACTCAAGGGACGCTCCCTGGCTGTCTTGTCCTCTGCATCGAGAACAGTGTGGGGATCAATGTGTGTGTGTGTGATTCGTTTAATGGGTTGACTTTGCTTTTTAGGTTTTCTTTTTCCTTTTTAAAAAATATATCCTTCCCTCCCACATGTTACTAAATTAATTTCTGGTTTTGAGAGGTCGAGCCTCAAAGTGTAAAAAGTCAGTCTCCGTTCGTAAGATGGGTGCTGTAAGCCTGGCAGTGGTTGTGAAAGCGCTCCGACTTTGACCACTCTTCCTCTTACAGTTCCACTACCAGATTGGTTAGGAAAGCCCGGGGGAGGGGGGAAGGAGGAGGCCGTTCTTCTGAATGAATGAGTTTTTTGTTGTTTTGCATGTTTAATATAGAAGTCCCTGTTCCTTGGGAGGTCATGGCCTTTGAATATGCACACGACCTTTGAATTGTGCCTACTGAATTAGAGCAGGGGCCTTTGGCACCCAAGGAGTTCTGACTCTCTGGGATCATAGTAGGGATTCCCAGCTGTACTCCGGACTTTATTTTGCTAACCATACTGAGCAACTGTAAATTACTGCTATATTCATGTTTTAAAGCACTGGGATAGTCTAACTTGTAATTAATTATGTTTGCCAATTACCTGTTTGAAATAAATTTGTGTCTGAACAGCTATTGAAACTGTTAAATTGTACAGATATTATTCATGACAGCTTTGTACTGTGGAATGTGCTTAATAAAAAACAAAAAGTTTGACCTTTGTCCAATAAATTGCTAAGTAATGTCAATAAATCAAGTGTGAGTATTATGCAGTACCCCTAACCTGGCTTCATGCGATTGTTACTTCAGCTACTGATTCAAAGCCAATACTCTTAATAAAGTGTTGCAATACTCTGACGCGCTGTTAAGAAATTTTTCAAAAAAACTGTTCTATGCTGTTCAGTGACATACAATTAAAGTTTATAGCTTTTTTTTTTTTTTTTTTTTTTTTTAATCTGCCCTGTAATATGAGCTTGAAGACAGACTGGTTTCGGCCTGTGAGATCTTTGTTAAAGATAACAATCTAAGTCCTGGGGCTTTTGGCATAGCTACTGTTAGCCCCCGAGACAGCGATTCTGCTCCCTACACACTAACAATGTGGGATGTGACAGTGGCCTCCCACGTGTCCCCAGATGGCCTCCAGGTGTGCGTGGACCCTTCCCTTCTTAGTAAGCAATGGACTTGAACCACTGTCAGCCACGTGGGAGTCCTGCACCTTAGCCGCCGCGCCATCTGCCGTGCAGCAGTGGTGGCGTGGGAGGTGCCGTGGCCCCTGCACTGTGGCTCGGGAGTGCGGTGGTGGTGCACGTTTGCACAGTCCGCCCGGCGCTGCTTCCGTGGTAAGGCAGGAAGAGACAGCGCCAGCCGATTCCATGCCCAAGACCTGAGCAGTAGCTTGAGTTTTCTGGGCAGCTAGATCTTCCCCCATTAATCAACCAAATTGGTAACGTCGACTTTCTGGATGAAATTAGAGTATTTCTGTACAGTCGCCCCCACCCTTTGTTACTGTCTGAAAGTTTAAAAGCATCTAATGTGCATATAGTTAGGGAAACCCCTTTACTGACCATAAAAGGATTGAGGGCACGCTCGGAGCAGGTGATGCAACTGGACCCACGGGGAGGTCCTAGGTCCATGTCCCAGGACCTCCCTGGTCCAGGTTGGCTGGGGCGGGGTAGATGGCCATGTGGGGACCCTGCTAGGGTGGCTGTCTCTCTCGTGGAAGAAATAAATGTAAAATAACTTTCCCTCTCGCACTCCGACTCCCTGTCCCTGAACATCGTCACCCAGTTTCTTGCATGGCCTCTGGCAGGTGTCCTCTGTGTGTCGCAGGGTGCAGGGGTGTGTGTCCGCTCCCCGTGCTGTGGGGCAAGCCCCCACACATGCCCGGCCACAGCTTGCTCTTTGCTGATACTGGTCGGGAGAGCTTGCCTGAAGGTTTAGGGAATTCCAGCCCCTTGTTCATGCCTGCATCGTATTTGGCCTTGTCTGAATACAGCCAGTCCTTTCAGGGCGGGACTTTGTTTCTTGCCCTTTCTAGAGTGGCATGCCTTCACAATCCTTTCCCTCCACCCCAGGCTAAGCACCCACTGCTCTGTGACCTGAGTTAATACTGGGAACAGCACAGACTGCACCTGAGCGGGGCTGCATCACCGCCCGGTGGGAACCGGGGCCAGCTGTTACCGGCTCTGTCCTCCCCTCAGGTGGCTGGTGTTCAGTAGCCAGGGGAGGAGTTACTGTGAGATGTCCTGGCACAGGTGCATCCCACGTGAATGACGGGGTGTCCATGCGCCGTCCCGCAGAGCTCCTTGGGTATGTACTCAGGGACTGGTGCGGCTTGCCGTTTCCGCCGGTCTGTCTGCAGCTGATGAGGCGGGGGAGCTGGGGCAGCTGGCTGATTATCCTCCTCACTGGCTGCGGGGCTGGACCCCTTTGCATCTTTGCTTCTCTGTGTATAAAGGAAGAGGGTTCCCCTCGCTCAAGTCCTGGGGGACACATGACCCAGCTCTGGACAGTTAATCCTGGCAAGAATACAGACTCAAGGTGCCAGGTCTTAATTTTCGAGAAAAACTGGAAATCTATACCAAAATTGACAGCTAATTTTTTTGTTGTTGTTTTTGCTGTAGGGTGTACATGCTCACCGGAGACAGATGAGGGAGAGGTGAAACAGCCCCCCCACCCTCCCCCCAGAGGGGTTAGGCATGCATGCAAATGCACCTGGTGTAGTTTTCAAACCGCTGAGTCCAGGACTCGAACAGTGCAGTCAGCCATGTGGGATCCAGACACCTTCACCGCCGCACTACTGACTGGCTCAGCAACTGAGTTTTTAAAAAAATCTCTGAGGCAGGATTTCGCCGTCCCTGAACTAACATAAACATTTGTGTGGGTGACCTGGTGAAATGTGCTCGTTTGAGAACAAGAGGTTTCAGCGGACAGGACCCAATTCAATGAGACACCCTGGGGCACAGGACCCAATTCAATGAGACACCTTGAGGCCAAGGGGCCGTTACAGAGATCATTACGCATTTGTGAAAAATGACCCAAAGGGCGGTGTTGGAGAGACAGGAAGGAACGGAGAGCCAGCCACCGCTGTCTTTGGTCACATCTTTGGTCACATCGTGAGGGTACAGACAAGCTGTCTGCTTTCGTGCCAGGACTGGGTCGCATTACAGAAAGGCAGGATTTTGTTCTAAAATCAACTTGGCCTTCCAGCCAGGGACCCTGGTAGCTTGTCCCTGAAGGGCTCCAGGATCTCCAGGCTCCTGCAATTCCTTGCACAAAGCTGGATCTGGCATCTTGGAGCCACTCAATAAACCTCTCTGGGATGACTGCACAGACAGCCATCCGAAGGGATTCAGCCCCCAAGGGTGGGGCAGTGGACCCCACGCACCAAAGGCAGGGGTTCGAAGTCAGTGTTGAAGCGTGTTGCTGACCAGGCGTGGCCATGGTCTGCGTTGCAGATTGCGAGGAATGGGTTCTTGGTGCAGGGCAGGGAGCCCGGGGATCAGGCCGCTCTCCGTGAAGCCGTCTGCTTGGACTGCTCTCCTCTGGTCGCCTCATCCTGTCTCTAGCAATTGCACGGTTTCACTGCTCCAAGCATGCATTATTGCTGGACTGGCTTGGCCTGGGAGAACGTGGAGGTTACAAGGCCAAGGACTTACCTGTAGTGGGGACATGCTTTGGGAACAGCTTAAGCTGATGTCCTGAGGAGATCTCAGTGAGCGCATCAGCTGTGTCCACCCTCCACCGCCATCTTTGACTGCAGTGGACTCTGGGTCCTTGCAGGCTGTATTTGTTCTTCCAAACCCCCAAAAGCTCTGGAGGTTGGGGGTGCTTTTAGAGCCCTGCAGTCCTTGATCTCGATGGAGACTATCCCACCAGGGGCACGTGGCTGTCAGATAGCAGAGAGGAGAAAGCGTGACCCTGGGACCCAGAGACCCACCGTGGGAGAGGAGCCCCGCCACCTGCTGGGCAGCAGCCCCTACGGACAAGGGATCATTGCCCTGCACCTGAGCGCCCTTGGCTGGAAACCAGAGAGGATGAAGTGAGGTCCTCTAACGTGCCAGACTGGTGCCTCGTGGCTTCGGGTGTGGCATTGAGCAGGTGGGGCTGAGTGCCCAGGTGGGGGAGAGAGGCAGGGGTTGTCCGAGTCTGGGATGGTGAGATGGAGACGTGTCACAGGCAGGCCTGCAGCTGGTGTGGGTCTCTCGAAGGGGAAGAAAGAAGCTGGCACTTCCGGGAAGAGTGCAGGCAGTCCCCAAGGACAGGCTGTGCTGAGGACTTGAGTTTCCGGCCAGGGTCTGAGGCTGTGTCATGTTGGAAGAGGGGAGCAGAAGTCAGGTAAATGGCTCTTTCACCAAATTATTTGTGCTGATTTTGTTTTGGAGACTCCGCTATAAAGGCAGGCAGCCTGTCATACTGCAGGGAGCGTTTCCTGGAATAGGACCAGAGCAAACCTCCCCTGTCTGCCGCGAGCTGCAGCGTCTCCCAGTGGATGGGGACTCCAGTCTTCAGTGCGTGTGGGGGGTGTGGGTGCGGTGGACACCCAGGGAATGGGGGGTTCCCACCTGCTACAGCGACAGCAAGGATACAAGTTCATTTCTCGAGAGCCAGGCCTGCTGGGAAGGTCGTTCTGAGTACTCGAATCCCCACGGTAGCCCTGCGTGGTATGTATTATGACCGACTGACTGACTTGTTTGTTTGTTTGTTGTGGTTTTTAAGCTGCTGGATCTGGAACATGAACCACAGTCTGCAATCCAGCGCCTTAACCACTGCGCCACCTGCTGGTGTATTATGACTATTTCATGGTTGAAGAAACTGAGGCTCCGTCTGTCTTGCTAGTGGACAGCTGGACTCAGCCTCAATTCTGGTCTGTCCTCTTAGCACCCCCCCACCCACCCACCAGAGCGTCTCCCCCTGGGTACCATGACGCCAGCAGTGTCCCTTTTCCCCCGCGGGATGCCCCCGGCATGGTTCCTCGTCAGGGGTAATGCGTGCAGTGCCCTCCTCAGTGCTCGGGGTAAAGGGGTTGGAGTGGGCCATGAGGGGTGCAGGGCCTTGTCTGTGGCCAGCCTTGGCCATGCTGGGGAGTGGGGTGCCATCTGGGACGGTGGCAGCCATTGGTGGCCTTGCTCTGGGGAGTGACCTGTCAGAAAGCCCATATGAGATTCAGGAGAGAGATTTGGGGGTCTAGAATGAGGCAGAGCAGTGATGGGGGAGAGGAGGTGCTGAGGGCCCCAGGGAGGGGAGCCACAGACTTGCCTGCGGGGAGTCGGGGAGCGGAGCCCTGGTACGATGCGTTCAGACCGCAGTGGAGACAAGACACACAGGGTCCCCGTCCTTGGGAGCATCCCTCCAGATGAGGACAGTGCACAGCAGCGGCCGGGGGCCACTCCCCGCCTAGCAAGACACTCCGGGTGTGATGAGCGCCATGGGGACGTCGCATTGGGCCGAGGGCAGGAGTCCCGGGGACCAGCCAGGCCGTGAGCTGGGAAAGGGCTCTGGGCTGAGACCACAGAGATGTGGAGACTGAGTGGAGATGTCCCCAGAGTGGGCAACTGGCTGGAGGGACAGGGAATGGGTTAGGTGCGGACGTTGGCAGTGCCCAGGGAAATCCAAAGGGAGCTGACCTGGGCTGCCTGGAGGAGGGGGGCGTGACGGCTCTCACAGGAGAGTCCAGGAGTGCCCGCATTTTGGAAAAGGGCATGGCAGGACCAGCGTGATGAGGCGGGACGGGGTGGCGGGGTGGGGTGTGGAGGCCAGCAGGCATGGTGGGCTCTGATGGACGCTTACTTGGGGCCAGGCTGCCGGGCCTCCCGGGCGACGCCTGCCCGCTGATCACACCAGGACCCTTGAGCCTG